ACTCTTAAAAATAAGAACAAAAGACAGACAAGGAAAAATATGCGAAAGACAAGAATAGTAATTCAAAAAAGGATAAGTAGTCCAATGATGTTCAGTTGAAATATACAAAATTGCCAATGTTTGACCTATAAAAATAATTGCCTATGTTTTGACCCTGCAAATAATCAAATGAAAATTAAAACAATACAATAAATACCATCATTACAGTGACATTATAGCACTATATACAAATTTTTAAATATTTATACACCTTGATCAAGCTATTCCTTCTTTATAATTTATCCAAAAGTGCAAAAAGATGTCTATAGTAAGAATGTGTATCACAGCAATATTTATAAAAAGCAAAAACCTGGAAATCATCTAAATCCTAGTATTAACAGCAGATTATTTAAATAAATTATGGTCCAGTGATAGGATGAAATACAAATGGATGTGAATGGATATAGTTTAATATGTGAAAAAGGCAGATTATCAAACTGTAAGTACAGTATATTCCCATTTATCTTAAACATATATAACATACATGCAGGCATGTGTGAAAAAATATTTTAAAAATTATGTACAGCAAGAAACACCATAATAAGATCAAAAGACTTGGGCAAACAATAAACTGAGAGAAAGTATCTGTAAAATATATCACAGAATCCTAATACATAAAAGATTCTTAAGGGGAAAAGGATAAAAATCTGATGGAAAAATGAACAGAAGACATGAATAAATGACTCACTCAAAGATATACAAATGATCCTATAGGTATGAAAAGACGTCTAATTTCACTCATAGAGAAATGCACATTAAAACCAAACGGAGATACATTTCTCACCTATCAGGTTGGTAAAAACTCAAAATTTTTTAGTACTACCAGCTATGGAGAAAAAGGCACTCTTATACATTAATGGTAAGAGCGCAAAATGGCACAACACCTATAAAGACGAATTTAGCAATAGCTAACAGATAGTCATATTCATTTACCATTTGACCCAATAATCTCATTTCTAGGAATTTGCCCTGAAGATAAACTTCCATAAATATGAAACAATACAGATGTACAAAGTTATTCACTGCAGCATTATTTTTAACAGCAAAACACTGGAAACAACCTAAGTACAACAGGGGGCTGGCTGAATAAACTATGATATATCTGCGTAAGGTAGTACCATGCAGAAAGCCATGACAGAAAAGAAGAAAATCTCTATCAACTGAAATAGAACTATTTCTAATATATGTTAGGTGAAAAAAAGCAACACACACATAGATGCAGTACTCTAACAAAAAATGTGAGAAAGGGAAATAAAAAATACTCCTTTGCTTACATCTCTTACATACAAGCAGACATGTATGCACAACCCCCTAAACTCCAGAGAAAAACTAAAAGCTAGTGAAAGTGATTACCCATAAAAGGAGGATCAGAGAAGGAAGGAGCTGATGGAGGAGTTCTCCAAGTAAGCATTTTATGTAATTTTGACTTTGAATCATGTAAATATTCTTCATATTTTAAAAAATGAACCCATATAATAATACAAGTAACTTTTTCAAAATAGTACTCTCACTCATCTTTAATAGGATATATTTAAGGATACATATAATTACAGAGAAATCTTGAACTTTATAGGTTTGCTGGTGGTAATGGCATCCTGTTGAGAATCTGGGTTTTCACTGTAAGAAACAGAAGATACAAATAGGAAGTACAGAAAGATGAGGAGAAACCTTGTGGCAATGGATGTGAAGTAGAACTACAAATAGGAACTTAAGACTAATTGTATATACGTTTCCTTATCTCTATCCATTGGAAGGGCCTATAAGTAAGGACATCTCAGCAGCTAGCAACAAGAGCATCTTGTAACCAATTCTTGGTTTCTAAGAACAACTGCCCACTAAAAAGGACAAAGACTCTTTGGAGAACTAGCTGATTCCAGGGCTGAGGAAAAGGGAAGTTGAAGGTGAACCTGGAACATCTTTCTGTTCCAAACATAAAGGAAAAGCTCAAAGACTAATGGAATCACATCAAAAGAACGTGGGTGTTAGCTTGAAGGGATTCCTACTGGCAGACAAAAAATAAAAATAATAATGATACAGGATTATAACACATAAAATAATAAAAGAATTCATTAAGCCCATGGTATTATTTTTTAAAGGGGGGTGGGTGGGGCAAGGTGGGAGAGTTCTTCTCTATAGAAAAATGTCAATGAATGTTAAGAATCAGAAAATTGCTATATTGCAAACCAATATCTGAGTAAGGCAAGGATCATCAAATGGGTGCTAAAACCATTGAGTGGGCCAGGTGTGTGGTTCACACCTGTAATCCCAGCACTCAGGGAGGCTGAGGTGGGAGAATCACTTGAGGTCAGGAGTTCAAGTGCAGCCCGGACAACAGAAGCAGGACCCCATCTCTACAAAAAAATACAAAAACTAGCTGGGCATGGTGGTGTGTAACTATAGACTCAGCTACTCAGGAGACCAAGACAGGAGGACTGCTTGAGCCCAAGAGGTCGAGGGTGTAGTAAGCCAAGACTGTACCACTACACCCCAGCCTGGGTGACAGAGCAAGACCTCATCTTGGGGGGAAAACAAACAAACCAAAAAAAATACTGGGTGAATAAATTTTCATATGGTCTCAAAGTATCCAAGTATCACCTCAGATTAGCTATTAATCACAAAATGAAAAAGTTCCTTTACAGATAGCTGATAATTACCATCTTAACCAAATGATCCAACACTACCACCAACATGGGGGTAACCTGTCATTATGTACCAATTTATATGATGTAATATTAAGTACTAATATCACCTATGCAGTATTTTTGCCAAATATGCTTAATCTAATCATGTAGATGACAATCTCAATCTACTCATACAGGATGGTAAAGAAACCATCCAATAAATACAAAATTTGAAATATTCTACAAGGCAAAAGATTCTTCAAAAAAGTAAATGTCATGAAAGTTGGGGAGAAAAATCAAGAGGACTTGTTCTAAACTAAAGAGACAGATAAGCAAATGAGAGTGTACCCAGGTTGAGTTCTGGATTTAGAAAAGAAAAGAAAGGACATAAGGGACACATTCTGAGAAAACTTGGAACATTGAAAAATATACGTATATTAGATATTCTTGAAATCACATTAATTTCCCTAGGTATGAAAATGGAATTGTGCTTATGTATGAGAATGCTCTTATTTGGAGAAGATATACGCTGTGAGGTATTTAGGGGTGAAATGTCATGATGTATACAACCGATTTTCAAATGGTTCAGCAAAGACACATACATTATGTATATGTGTATTTAAAGATACATAAAGCAAACATAGCAAAATCGTTAACCATCAGTGAATTTAGATAAAGGACAGGTGTTTCCTGTACCTTTTTTTCAACTTTTCTCTGGGTTTAACGTTTTTCCTAAGTAAAAGGTTGCAGAAAGATGAAAACTTTCACTTCAGACTCTGTATTCTGTTAGGTGCTGGTGAATTTTTTTTAATAAAGGGCCAGATGACAAACATTTTAGGCTTTAGAGGTCATACAATCTCTACTGGAACTACTCAACTTTACCTATGTAGTGCAACAGAAGACCTCTCTATAGGCAGTATGAAAACAAATAAGCATGGCTGTGTCACAGTATTACTTTACATACAAAAATAGGTAGCAGGTTGAATTTGGCCCACAGGCCATAACGTGCCAACTCCTTAACTATACATGTTTAAAGAATGCAGGGGCATGTACTGCTATTTTTTCTTCTCTATTTTTTTTATTTTTTAAATATATATTTTAAATTCATACGCTTCAAATCATGGTCTCTTCTTTAATCTCTACCATTTCCCACTTGGTAGTCTCATGGCTTCACTATTAATTTTAACAGAATGACTCCCATCTATAGTACCTGCCTTGACAACTCTTGAGCCAGAGTTTTATTTTCCATTATGAATTTCATAATCATTTCCACACGGATGGCCAACCTGAAGGTCAAATTCAGTATACCAAAAGTAAATAAGTGCCTTTTTTCCCAAGTGACTTATCTTCCAAGATGATTCAATTCTACCAATAGTATCACCATCCACCTATCCATTTAGGCTCAAAAACTGAAACACTACCTGTGCAGAAAAGAGGTAACATAGCAGGCCAGAGACTGCCTATCCTTAGAAAGGCCTACTTGCAAGACTGGCCTTTGGCTGGCACCTGGAAACTTATATTTTGGGAGGGATCCCACTATTCCCAGAACTGATAAAAGTGGCTATGTCTAAACTGTACAAAGAGTATAATTTATGCTGAACACTAACCTTCCTTCTGGTAGCCTGCAATTTTGGTACATGCTAGGTGCCTACATAACAGCCCCCAATAAAAACCTTGGGCCCTGAGTTTCTAATGAGCTTCCCTGGTAGACAACACTTCACAATTTGAATTAAGAGCATCCTGCATGGCTTCACCGAGAGAAGATATTTGGAGTAGGTACCTGATTCTCTCCAGGCTTCATCCCATTTACCTCTTCCTATTGATGATTCTGTTTTGTACTTTTTCACTAATAAATCATGCAGTGAGTACAACTATACGCTGGGTCCTGTGACAGCTTCCAGTGAAATCACCAAACGCTGGGGTAATCCTGAGGGCCTCTGACACATTTTATTTTCTCTTCTTTACCTACTTAATCAGTTACAAAGTCTTCTTGATTCAATATCCATTATACCACTTATCCATATTTTTGTCTCCATTTCCACGGCTTCTGTCCTATCCAGGCTTTGATTACTGTGCTGTCTCCTACTGGGAATTCCTATTTCCAGACATAGTTTCTTAAAGGATAGTTCTGGTCATTTCATTTCTCAGTGCTAAAATCTTCCATATTAACCCATTTGTTCTAGAATCAAGGCCAAAATCCTAAATGTGGAATTTATAACTTTCCATTGGTTGGCTCCAAACGTTTTAATTTTGCCCTTTATATTCTACACATTACAAAGTCTCCACAGTCAGATGAAATCCCATAGACAGAATAAAATAATTTTGAATGAAGTATACTACCTCCAACAACAATGTTCACCATTTCTTCTACAATGTTCTGTACAATGTCTTGTGGCTTTTCCTCACAATCATGGTTTTCTCCATCATATAACATGTCATTTTTAGATAATGCTTTAAAAGAAGAAAAATTCAACAGAATATTATTTTAACTTTTTGGAAGCTTTTTACTAAACATTTACGATGAAAAGCTCCTAAACCATGAGGAATAAAAGAAAAAACATCAAATAAATGACATGAAATTAGAAGCAATTATATGTTAAACCTTCAAAATTTATACCAAAACTTAAATATTTTCCAAATTCAAGTCAATTTCAATAATGATTCATTTGACAAGCTATTACATTATTACACTTAACTGAATTTTCTAGATTAGTCCTTTAAGAACCAAAACTTTAAAAAGCATTTTAAATGAAACATTTCTAACATGTCCTACAGACGCTTACTTATACTTAGTACACACATTACACTATCCCTTATCAAATATACTGAATGTAATTAGGCTGGGTATAGTGGCTCATGCCTGTAATTTCAGCAATTTGGGAGGCCAAGGTGGGTGGATCACCTGAGGTGGGGAGTTGGAGACCAGCCTGGCCAACATGGTGAAACCCCATCTCTACTAAAAATACAAAAATTAGCCGGGTGTGGTGGCACACGCCTGTAATCCCAGCTACTCAGGAGGCTGAGGCAGGAGAACTGCTTGAACTCAGGAGGTAGAGGCTGGAATGAGCTGAGATTGCACCACTGTACTCCAACCTGGGCGACAGAGCAAGACTCTGTCTCAAAAAAAAAAAAAGGTAATTAAAGCTTGTTTTGATTACTTAGGCTCATCAATAGTAATATCAACATTGTACTCTATGGTGAGGTCCCTGAAGAAGCATCTGGGCCTTCCCCAATACTTTCTGGCCCTTCCTATTTTTTCACCAACAGAATCTACATATCTAATGTAAAACTAAATTTAAGAAGCTAAAAAAGAATTCATTGTCCAATTTAATGTTTAAAAAAAAAAAACAAACAAACAAAAACAAAACACCAACAGATAACTGCCAATCGAACTTCTGAACAGCGTAAGAGAAACTGATGAAATCTGATGTTCTGGATAGCTTGCACAGTCTATTGCAGAGAAAAACAGTAATTCCACTGGGCTTTTTAAAATGTTGAAAATATGTCAAAGCAGCTCAACTATCACTTTAGAATGCTTTGGGATTCAAAATGCTGTCTTGAGCCACCGTCCTACACCAAAGGGCATCAGACAGCATATTAGCTGGTGGTGCTGCAGTTTCAACTTCTTGAACCTTCCCACTACCATAAAGGACCACTACAGCTGAGCACAGGGGTCACACCTGTAATCCCAGCACTTTGGGAGGCTGGGTGGATCACTTGAGCCCAGGAGTTCAAGACCAGCCTGGGCAACACATTGACACCCATTTGCTACAAAAAAAATTAAATATTAGCTGGGTATGGTGACATCTGCCTATAGTCTTAGCTACTTGGGAGGCTGAGACAGGAGGATCGCTTGCGCCCGGGAAGCATGCAATGACCCATGATTGTGTCACTGCATTTCAGTTTGGGTGACAGAGCAAGACCCTGTATCCAAAAAAAAAAAAAAAAGGAAAAAAGGGGAAAAAAAGGACCACTACTTATAATAGTGGCTTCTAGGTGCCTGTCCTCCCTATAATTTCACTTTTGCTAATTTACTGTCCGTAGTATCCTAAAAATACTGAAAGGAAAAGAGAAAACCAGATAAATATGCATGTAAATGAGCAACCTTATTTTATAAAATATCCAAATAAAAATAGCATTTGGAGACTTCTGTGAATAAAAACATAAATGTCTTGAAAGACAATTCTTCTGCCATTCTTGTTTTATTTCCACGCTCTAGTTGGCTAAAATTACCTCAAGTCTGAAAACTCAAGTTTCAAAGTAACTAAATATACATAACCACTATCTAAAAATGTACAAAATGACTAGTGAAGAGTCAGTTTTCACATAAGTATCTGAAAGAAATAGAACAGAATAATAGTGACTAATACTTGTTACATGTAGGAAGTGCTTAGAAGTTAACTACTATGTCCAAAGTCATGCAGCTGGTAAGTGACAGAGATGTGCTCCAAAAACGCACTCTGAACCAATGGCTGTCAAGCAGAATTTTCATTTATATCAGTTATTGGGGAAAAAACATCTTTAGAGCCAAAATAATCATGACAATCCCACAGGAAACTATGTCTTTCTAACTCTGTATTCTACAAGGCATCTACAGCGGTACCTCATACACAGCAGATGCTCCCATTCCTTGGGTCTTAGTCCATGTTGTTTCCTTGGATGGAAAATTTCCTACCCCCATCTATCAAGATTCAACTAAAATATCATTAACTTTCCTACAAAGAAATTTCCTAACTCTTCTCAGCAGAATTACTTCGTGCATGGCATTTTTAGGACACCTATCACATATTATACCTCATTTATGCTCGACTTCCAGGTATGCTAAGATCACACTAAAAGCAGTGGCTGTATCTCCATCATCTTTTTAACCTCAAGTCCTGGCATGGTGCCTAAGACACAGTATGCTCAATGAAGGTTTGCTAAATACACAGATAAACAAAATAATAAAGTCCCAGCTTTATTAGAGATTAGCCCTTTGAATCTGCCCATTTATAAGCTCACTGTGAAAGCAGGGGAAATTTTGGCAAGGGTAGGCTAGACAAATGTAAATCATTTAAGTGGTATGGATTCACTATTAGATTCAGTACTGTGAATGCTTAGCTTATCAAAGTCATCCTTTTTAAAACAAATAGTGAAGTACTATTTTTAAATGCATGCTTCTCAGAAAACGGGGGGTAAAATGTAAAAAGGCACATATTCATGCCACTAGTAAGTTTTGGAAAAGGCATGGTTTGAAAAAAAAGAAAAGAAGAGCTGAAAACATATTACAGAAGCCCTTCCTCAAAGTAAAAACACAGACTTCAGATAAACTGTAACTGACTCCTAACATGCTAGTTCTAGACAATCACACTAGAGAGGCAACAGAATTCTCATCATTTAAAAATGACATCAAGCTAAGGAAGGGCAAAGGGAACACCACAAATTCTCTGGTAGTTTCACAGAACAGCTGAAGCTGAAAATAACATTTAGGAAAACAATAACTTCATGGGATTATTTTTACAGAGAAACAAATTTGTAAGCTAAACATAATTTTTATAATCTTATAAGCATTTTCTTATAAATATACACTTAAAAAATCAGAGAACATCTCAATTTTAGTGATTACTATGCATCATAATTTTAAAAACGAAAATTTTTGTCTATCAGTTGGTTACTCAAAAACTTTTTTATATTTAATTTCAGTACTTTTTATGACCATAATCATATTTTTAAAACTGGTAATGATTTTTTAAAATTTTCAGTCATATTCCAGAAAACTTTACTAGGTCACTTGTTTGCTATGAAAGCAATCGTAAGAAAACTGAAATTCCTATATAACATTCAATGGACATTTATGACCCTCTTTAGAAATATATCTGAGCTCCAAAGGAAATCTATAAATCATACTGCTCATGAGATGCTAATAAATGCAAAGTATCATTCATAGATACCTTGTAGGGTACAGTCAAATTAACTTTACCACCTACAATGAGGAAAGTCCACAATTACCACAATGTGTCTGACAGACATTAAATCATATTATCCTTTCAACATTTCTTCATCAAAACTCTCATTCCTACACATTTCCCTTAACATACACCCCAAACCCCCTTTTCAAGAAGATTACTTTCAGCTGCAGTTGCCTGATCAGCTTCAGTCTGTTCATTTTCTGCACTGGAAATATCAGATCCATTTTCAGGTTCTGTGTCGTCCTGAAGACTTTTATCTACATCATTTGTATGGAGGTCAAGGTCCCTTTCGTGTTCTTGGGATATGTGATCAACAGTCTGAGGTGGCAAATATCTAAGTTGAGGTGATTCAGGCTCATGATGGCTTACTGGAGACTGTAACAGATGCTGCTGCTGCCGATGCCTTTCTTTTTCCATTTGTTTTGCTTCCTGTAACTGGAAATAAATAAAATTTCCAGTATTAGTAAAATAAGCAGTTTAAAATTTGGAAGGATAATGTTACCTCCAACAATCCTTTCTATAAAGTGCCATTCTCTCTATGCTTGGAAATTAAAGTTTATCAGAAATGGAGAAGATAAACTATACTAAAAACAATGAACAATGTTTACTTCTTAGGTGGCTAGAAATCAGCACATAAGAACAGAGATGAAAGACTTTCACTATAAAGCATTTTCACTGCATTTCATATTTGTGTGAAACACACACACATTCACTTTTGCTTATACATACAGAATGAAAGTCTATAAAAATACATAAGAAGCTGGTAGTAACGGTTACCTATAGAGGGTCGAGATTAGGAAATAATAAAAGGGGAAACCAGAGTGGGAGGGAACTTGTCAGTGTTTATCCTTCTGGAGCATGTTCTTATGTCACCTTGTCAAATATCTTTTAATAAAAAAATATTAAAATTACATTTAATAGAATTACAATGAAGGCTTAAATCACTCTACCCAGTCATCTAATAATTATGAAAAACACTGTATCTACAAATGTCTGAATTTTATTTTAGAAAAACTGTCATTATTATAATACTATCTGTAAAACTGGCTCATAAAATGTTAAAAACATTAACAGTTGGGATCACAAGATTTCATTTTTTAGCACTTTATTACTTTTCACACATCTCTTTTGGTCCTTAAGACCAGATAAGAATTGAGTCTCACAGAATTCATTTCCACCAAGATAAATCTTATACAGTACCAAATATGAACAATTCACATTCTCCAGTAATATTCCAGGTTAGGTGGAAATGCCAGAATTATATGAATTTATAAAGTAAGCTTGAATTAAAAGATTTTAATAATAAAGTCTGACAAGATTTGCTTTGTGGGGAGTTTTATTTTGTGGGGGAAGGGAAAAATTAAGGTTACCAGTAGTTAATATCAAAGAATTCAACGTCTAGCTTAGAAGATTTTAGCAAATGTGGAAGTTAAGTCATCTGTATCCCATTTTCCCTTACTTTCTCTCCCTCTTTTCCACCTTTTCTATAATTATCCACAGCACAGAACTAAATACCCTTTGTAACACAATACATGTTCATAGCCTTTACCATAATTCAGTTCTATAGTTGTTTAAGGGAAACTCTTTGCCTCAAATGTTCGTAAGATCTTCAAAGCTCATAGTCAAGTCAGTTTTGCTCGTCACTGTTGTGAGACCTAGCACAGTGCCAGGAACATATAAGGAACTTAATAAAAGTCTGTTAATCAAATCAAACCAATAAAACTTTGTTATTAAAAAGTGACAAAAATATTTTATTTACATCCTCCAAAAAAAGCAACAAAACCACTGTTTGTGGCTGCAAAATATTAGAAATAAATTAATGCCACTACAGAGGAGAGTGACTATATATAAAAGACTATACTATATGCTAAAGTACTATACATCTATAAAAAAGAGTGAGGAAGGTCTTTAAGGACTGATATAAAATGCTTTCTAGGACATACTGTTCAATGATAGCAAAATACAAAAGAGAATGTATAGCATGTGAGATAGCTAGTTTTCAAGACGGTCACCGATGAGGTCCACCTCTCAATTTCACTCCCTTGTGTAGTCCCTTTCCACAATGTACCTGTGTGACCACTTCTGATTATAAGGTAGACATGTGGCTTCTGTCTTACATTCAAGGGGTGGAAAGAAGGGAAGAAGAGGAATGCAGTGGTAGGAATTAGGAGGAATTAGTACTTTTCTGAGTAGACCTTTTGTACAGCTCTGACTCTTAAATTGCAGTAATGTTTTACATACCTAAAAAATAAGTAAATACAGTTCGCCCTCTGTATCCATGGGTTCTACAGCTGTGGATTCAACCAACCAAGAATTGAAAATACTGATGGCGGAGGGAAAGAATGGCTGTGTCTGTACTGAACAAACATGTACAGACAACTTGTTTTTTGGTCATTATTCCCTAAACAATACAGTATAACAACTATTTACAAAGTATTAGGTATTGTAAGTAATCTAGAGATGATTTAAAGTAGACAGAGGATGTGTGTAGATTATATGCAAGTATTACACCATTTTATAAAACAGACTTGAGTATCCATGGATTTTGGTATCCATGGGAGGGCCCTGGAACCAATTCCTGATGAATAATACTGAGAGATGACTGTAATTAAAACTAACCAGAATGTGACAAATACCAAAAATGAAAAGCAGAGAGTAACAAATGAGTCTACTGAGGGATGACTGTAACTAAAACTAACCAGAATGTGACAAATACCAAAAATGAAAAGCAGAGAGTAACAAATGAGTCCAACTATTATCACAAAGGAATAGTATTACCCTATTGCAGAGTGTGAGGAAGAAAGGAAACTAATCTAAGTAACTAGAAAATAATATTTTGAATGGATAAGGCTAAAGACAAAAAAACCTGAAATGCTATAACCTACTTAGTAAATTTGCTTCTAACACTGGTAATGATCAGCAATTCTAAAACTAATGGGTATAAAGGATTGAATAATCAATGTATTTAGAATATAAAAGCCATATTTCTTATTGTTTAGAGAAATAAGTTTACAAATAAAGGGAGAAGACTGAAATGAACCCCATATTGTTGCACTGGAATCAGAAATATCACTATGAACACATGGTTTTATTACCAACATATGGAAACTCACATACAGGTCGTGGGAATTGAGTGGGACAGAAGGGATAGTACATAAATACACATTTCCTAACTCTATCTGCTGAGAGGCCTAGAAGCAATAACACAGAGTGACAATGAATACATCTAGCACTCAGATTTTGGTTTCTAAACACCATTCTCCAATCAAAAAAAAGAGCTAGAGCTGCTCCTTATTGAAGTCGTTGATTCCAAGGTTGAAGCTGGGAAAATTCAAAATGAGCCTGGAACATCTTGAGAATCCAGAAATTATGGAAGTACTCAAAAAAGGATGGGAGCTAGTCACAAGGACACAGGGCCAAAACTGTAATAATTTGGGCAACAAAATAAGTAACGGTAGCACACATTACAACCATAAAATAAATATCTGTGACTACAGACTGATATAAATAATTGAATAAATAATTAAGGGAGAAGAAATTCAGTTAATAAATACAGAAGTAAAGAGAGAAACAGGAAAATCATTAGGGAAATGCCACAATAATTAACTGTTGCCAACAAGACCTACTGATAGATATCAAAACTGAGGGAAGTGGGGGGAGGATCTGAGGAGAAACAGAGTATTTGCACAGTCTTAAAATATCTCCCCAAAGACATTTATTAATTGCAAAAGAAAAACTACTAACTTCATAGTGGAGGAACCTGACAGATAACTACCTTAAGCAAGTGATCAAGGTTAACATAACCAACATTAAGATATACCAACACCATGAACTCCTGACAAAACGCACTGAAAAGGACACAACAGATATTCTGGCAAAAAACTGCACAACCTCATTCTAATCATGAGAAAACATCAGAGAAAGTAAACTGAGGAAAATTCAACAAAATAAATTATTAGTATCCTTTTAAAAATGGCAAGATCATGAAAAAGATAACGAAAAGTTGAGGAACTGTCACATACCGGAGAAGACTAAGACATAGAACTAAATGCATACTAAACGCAATGTGGGATCCTGGGTCAAATCTTAAAACATTAGTGGGAAAATTGGTGAAATTCAAGCAGGGTTTGTAGTTTAATTAACAGTATTGTACCAGTGTTAATTCTGCTTTTGATAATTGTACTATGTAGGTATGTAAGTTAACTGCATTAAGCAAAGCAGGGTGAAGGGTAAAAGAGATTTCTCTGCAAAACTTTTGCAATTTTTCTCTATGTTTAAAAAGAGTTCAAAATAAGAAGCTTGGTGTGAATTTTTAATAGTGAAGACCTAGGCAATTAAAAGCAATTCTCTAGTTGCTGACCTCTTAACAATCAACCTGAAGCAGTTTAAAGTATAAGGAATATCATGCCCCTTTATCATATGGGGGGTAACATGCATTTCATTTCAAAAGTACAGAATATTTCATTTCAAAAGTACAGAAATGTACTTTTTTAAGGCTTAATTAATAATTTTATTTCAGATTAGATTAAATTATTTTATATCTACATTACACTCTACTAAGCTTGAATGCAATAGAAGTAGTAATTCATAATTACTTCCACAAGGAAGATGGCAATCAGTATATTTCACATTCTATTTGTGAACAACTAAAAATACTTTGTCCAAAGTTAAATCAGTAAACCTTAAAACAAAATAAAACACAATACCACAAATCTCCAGTAAGTGGAACTGTAAATAAAAGACATTCTTTTCTACAGGTACAAAGATTTCACTCTAATTACTGTAAACTCCTTTCTATATTTAATGCCTGTTGTGTTCTATACAATCTCTCCCTTTTTAAAATACTTACTGCTTGGTTTTCCATGCGTGCAAAGATAACATTTAGCATCTGAGTGAGAGTAGCTTTGGCTGTTGTCTGATTGATGAGATTTTTGCTTGCTAAGTAGATATTGTAACATGTTCTCACAGCTTGCAGTACAGTCCCTTCATGAATTTCTATGTGTTGTGATGTTACTGCAGTAAGTAAAGCCTTTAAGAAGAAAAAAAAAAAAAGGACAAAGTTAAAGAGATTTTCTTTTTCTTTTTTTTGGAGACAGTCTTTCTCGCTCTGTCACCCAGGCTGGAGTGCAGTAGTGTGATCATAGCTCACTGCAGCCTTGAACTCCTGGGCTTAAGTGATCCTCTCACAGCAGCCTCCTGAGTAGCTGCTACAGGTGAGTACCACCACAGCCAGCTGTAGGATTACAGGTAAGCACCACCACACCTGGCTAATTTTGTTTTATTTTTCTGTAGAGATGTAGTCTCTCTTTGTTGCCCAGACTGGTCTCGAACTCCTGGCTTCATGCAAGCCTCCCACCTCAGCCTCCCAAAGTACTGGGGTTACAGGCATGAGCCACCACACCCAGCCTTAAAGTGGTTTTCTGCATCTAGAGTTTCAGCACAAAAATTAATCATTTTCATATTACAATGAAAACTTTCAGAAACAATTACCACTTGCAGGTAGTATACACAGAATTTCTACTGGCCTTGAATATATCATCAACTGTTAAAATATTTGATGTTTTCCTCACTGTGGCAGTAGTTTCCACATAATCTGAAAACCATTTAACTGATTTGTTTCAACCAAGGTTTCATTTTAATGAAAATACTATTTAATTTACTAAAATGCACAGCATGAAAGCTATTACAGTAGAGCACAGATATATCACATGAGATATCTGTTGAACTAGACCACCAACTTGGGAAGATACACATTGTGTCTTACTTGCCTCTACATTTTTCTGAGATCTTTTTTAACAGACTGAACTCAGTAATTGTGGTGGTGTTGTTATTGTTGAAGAGGTTTATAAATGTTTTAGAATAAAGCATGTAAAATAATTCTAAAGTAGCTGGGCGTAAGTGGCATATACCTGTGGCCCCACCTACTTGGAAGGCTGAGGTGGGAGGATCATTTGAGCCAGGGAGGTCAAGGCTATAGTGAGCTGTGATCATGCCACAGCACTTAGCCTTGGCAACAGAGTGTGACTGTCCCAAATTAAAAAGCAAATTCCTAAGGCAAATACTTCAATAAAATGAACAAATTTCGCCTATGTGAATTTTCACATATTGGGTTACTTCCAATTTCTCAAGAGCAAAGACTCTTTTGTCTTCTTTATGTTGTACAATGCTATGCAGAGTTAGCATTAATGGGCATTATCTTAAACCATAAATGATATGAAACTATACATGATAGGTCAAAATGATCAACCCGTTTTGTTGTTTTCTTTTCTTTTTTGAGACAGGATCTCACTCTGTTGCCAAGCCTGAAGTGCAGTGCAGTGAACACGGCTCACTGAAGCCTCAATTCCTGGGCTCAAGTGATCCTCCCACTTCAGCCTCCTGAGTAGCTGGGACCACAGGCACACATCACCACATGCGGCTAATTTTTAAATTATTTTTTGTAGAGACAGGGTCTTGCTGTGTTGCCCAGGCTGGTCTTGAACTTCTGGGATCAGGTGACCTTCTTGCCTCGGTCTCCCAAAGTGCTGGGATTACAGGCATGAGCTACCATGCCCGGTATTTTTTTTTAGAATAAAAATATTATATGGCTTCTGAAGTAAACACCACTATAAAACTGAAAGGCTCCAAAAGGGCTGTATTCACACATGAAAGAACCCTTCATATATACATATATATAAAAACAATTTCAAAAGTACTGTACTATATATAGCACATGAAAATTTTACTGCCATAAAAACACACCATTACCATTAGCAATAACATTAAGAACTCAGTATCTGTAACAGAATGAAAACATTACTAATTTTTCCCCAAAGGAATTCAATCAAACAGGTACACTACAGCACGAACTCAGAACAGGGTTTTGCCGAGTAAGTTCAATAGACGGATGCATGCAAGGATATCAGGAGAGTTGGCAGACAAGTAGTGTCCATCTAGTGATTCATGAGTTGAGAGGACACCCTATGAAGGGTCCAACAGTACAGAAGAAACTAGAAGGGTCACAGCTTTAAGAACTACCCTGAAGTTTGATGGATGGAATATATATGAAAAACATGCCAGAAACAGAAAAGCTCTGGAAGACTCTGGGGGCTAAGCCTAAACTGAGATCTTCAAAAGAAGAGATATGAGAACATAGTTTTCCTCTAACAAACTCTTGGCATACAACATTAAAATCTCCTAATATGGAGTCTAGAAAGCATCCAAATAACCTCTTTTTTTTTTCTTGAGACTGAGTTTCACTCTGTTGCCCAGGCTGGAGTACAGTGGCATGATCTCAGCTCACTGCAACCTCCGCCTCCCAGGTTCAAACGATTCTCTTGCCTCAGCCTCCTGAGTAGCTGGAACTACAGGTGCCCACCACTATGCCCAGCTAATTTTCTTGGTATTTTTAGTAGACACGGGGATTTCACCATGTTGGCCAGACTGCTCTCAAACTCCTGACCTCAAGTGATCCGCCCAACTTGGCCTCCCAAAGTGCTGGGATTATAGGCATGAGCCACTGCGCACGGCCTCAAATAACCTGTATTATAGCTGGAATGCACATAAAATGATCTTTCCTAATATTTTAAGGTGAAAGACATCTGAATTTTGAAGATACAGATTATTAATAACAATTTTACTTTATATAATAATTACCTTTATTATCTGCAGCTGAACTCCTTCATCTGTCTGAGGGCCCTGAAAGCAGCCACATATTGTTTCAATAATTCTATCAATTAATTTTTTGCCTGGTGTTGTACTATCTGGAGCATTGCCAGTCAAGTGCCCATAAGCAATAAGTTTCTAAAACGGAGAAAGAAAACAAAGATCCTAAGTTACAAATATTATATATACTAATGCAATATACATTAAAATTACAGTATACAATTGTATATAAAAATTTTTACATAAAAATACATAGGTATTATCAAAGCCAAAGCTATACCAACTTTTTCTGTAGAAACTTTATTCATATAAATATGTATTTATACTTGTAATAACCACAAAAACAGAACCACAATAAACCATCAGGTAATATTTTGAGAAAGCCAAGCCTTGAGAACCTGTCTCTGATGAGTTAGAATTGCTTACTGTGGCTGGGTGCAGTGGCTCATGCCTGTAATCCCAGCACAATGGGAGGCCTGCTTGCCTCCCACGCTGCCAGTCCACATTGGGCGGACTGCTTGAGCTTAGGAGTTCGAGGGCAGCCTGAGCAACATGGGGAAAACCTATCTCTACAAAAAATAAAAAATTAGCTGGGTGTGGTGGTACATGCCTATAGTCCCAGCTACTCAGGAGGCTGAGATGAGAGGACTGCTTGAGCCTTGGGAGGTGGAGGTTGCAGTAAGCCGAGATTGTGCCACTGCACTCCAACCTAGGTGATAGTGAGACCCTGTCTCAAAAAAAAAAAAAAAAAAATTGCTTATTGCTTTCCATATAAACAAGGTTTTACTGATACTGCTTTGTGAAAATTATCTTCATGCTTTTAAATGACCCCCAATCTCTTTCCAAATGATTCATCAATATATATAAAACCCAGTTTCCATATACTAGCTGAAATAAATCATAGATTTGTTCATTCATCATTATCAGTATACCCTGGAAGGAAGGCTTCAGATATTATCATTCTAATTTTCCAGTAAAAACAGATCACAAATCAGATTAACTTAACTTTAACCTAGCCTTAAGGACAAATCATATGGTCTTTTCCTAGCCACTTAATTATAGTTGAATACATATAATGCCCAAATAGTGAGAACACCTGAAAAGAGAAGTATTCCTCTACTTAGAAACTTGTCTTACAAATATAATATCTATGAGGATCCTCTGTCTATGTGTCAAACAAGGTAACAGAGTTCAGAAATTTTTCTGACATAAATGACTGCCAGAGCTAAAGTATAGCAGTTAAATATTAAATTGTATTAAGCTGCCAATATTAACCTATTGCTTCATATAAAACAGCAGACACACTGCCAGGCACAGTGGCTCACACCTGTAATCCCAGCACTTTGGGAGGCCAAGGCAGGTGGATCACTTAAGGTCAGGAGTTCAAGACCAGTCTGGCCAACATGGTGAAACTGTCTCTTCAAAAAACAAACAAACAAACAAAAAAAAAAAATTAGCTTGGCGTGGTTACACACGCCTGTATTCCCAGCTACTTGGAAGTCTAGGGCAGGAGAATTGCTTGAACACGGGGGCAGAAGTCACAGTGAGCCAAGATTACGCCACTGCACTCCAGCCCAGGTGACAGAGCAAGCCTCCATCTCAAAAAAGTAAACAAACAAACAAACAAAAAAACAGCACTTAGAAAAATTATTTGCAAATGGTGATGTATGTAAAGTCGGCAGCAGGTTAAAAGTATTACGGATCTTGCATTTCACTGATGAGAAGAGACCAAATCAACACTTTCCATTACTGATAATCTTACTAAAGATTTTATATCCCACTAAGTTAACGATTGTTATCATTAAACTAGAAACGTCTTTTTGCAACTATTATTATGTCTTAAATATAAAAAATCATTTGGATTTTTTATCACAAAAAAGAGTATTAAAAGCTTTCATGGAAATGTCTGAATCATCAACGTGAATAATGTTTTAGAAACACATTCAAAGTAGACAGTTTTTAGAAAGTGCCATTTTACACATACCTGTAAGCAATCTAGAGATGTACTAACTATGCGGGGACATTTGGACTGGCATGCCAACTCAAAAGGCAAGAAGTACTTGTCTGCTTCAATAAAATTTGTCTTTGATTTCACTGGTGGAAGGGTGCTTGATCCAGCTTTTGCTTCTCCATGAGGAGGACTAAATGAAAAAGAAAAGTCTGATTATAGCATATCACATTTATAATATTGATGATAAACCCATGTAGAAACACAGAATTTCAGTTCTAAAAGGAATCTTGCTAAACCAGTCGTCTATCTTCCCATATTTCAAGAGGAAACTCAAGCCCAGAGAAGTGAAGTGGTTTGCCACATGGTCAAAAGCTAGTGTCCAGAGCTGTGACTGAACACAAGACACTGAAATCTTGTCTGCAAAACTGGTCTACAAAAACTGTGAAATTCAAGGTGCTTCTATTACAGAAATATTTTATTGTCACTTAACAAATTTGGCATTATAATACCTTAAAAAGCAATGGCCTTTCTATTTGTCCTTAAGTCAAAAAGTGAGCTTTTTAGTTATTCGATATTGCCCTAAAAAGGTCAACACTACCAAAAAACCTAATAATTTTTTCAAATATGAATCAAAGTCTACGAAAAGACTCTGAAGGCTATCTTATGGTATTTTAGAAGTATCTTTAGATACTTATTTACATGAGAATCTTTTTGTATTTTTAAGTATGCTTAGAGCAGAGCCTGGTGGCTCATGTGTGTAATCCCAACACTTTGGGAAGCCGAGGCGAGCGGGTGACTTGAGTCCAAAAGTTCGAGACCAGTCTGGGCAATATGGCAAAATCCCATCTCTACAAAAAATTAACACAGGCATGGTGGTGCTAGCCTGTAGTCCCAGGTACTCGGCAGGCTGAGGTGGGAGGATCACTTGAGCCTGGGAAGTGGAAGTTGCAGTGAGCTGTGATCACACCACTGCACTCCAGCCTGGGCAACAGAGCGAGACCCTGTCTCCAAAAAAACACGTGCATACATTTTTATAAATATATATAAAAATAGGTTTTAAGAAATATAATCATATATTTTGTTTGTTTTTATGTAACCGTATTTCTTAAAACCTATTTTTAAAGTTGATTTTACTATAAACTCACATGCAGAAAATTTGCCACACTAAAATACAGATGACTGTATTGTTTTGACCAAGACTGACAAGTTTGAAAATTATTTTTACTAAAGAAAAGAAATCCCACAAACCTCTGTTTTTCAGTTTCTGCTTTTATTTCCTCTGAGGGGGAAAAAAAAAGAAGCATACATTAGAAAACTTGACAACAAAAAGACTGAGTAATTTCATAATAACTTTTATAAACTCATTTGGAACTTCTACATAAAGTTGGAAAGAATGCAAATTTAATAAAAATTAGGTGCTAAAATTGTTCCATCTAAATTTTTTAATTTACACAAATAATATAAAACTATATGAATAGGCACATTAACAATCACAAGGATAAGTGAAGTTATAGATTATTAATTCCCAACACATTTCCTTTTCTCAAAATATTTTCTTTTTTGTCAAGTAACTATTTATATTAAGTAGAAGTATTAATATTAAGAACACGGCCAAGTTCAGTGGCTCACGCCTGTAATCCTAGTGCTTTGGGAGACCAACGCAGGAGGATCACTTGAGGCAAGGAGTCTGAGATCAGCCTGGGCAACAAACACCCCATCTCTACAAAATAAAAAAAAAAATGTAAATCAGCTGGGCATGGTGGTGTACACCTGCAGTCCTAGCTATGTGGAACAGGGGGTTGAGGTAGGAAGGTCCCTTGAGCCCAGGAGTTAAAGGTTACAGTGAGCTATAACCACTAGACTCCACTACACTCCAGCCTAGGCACAGGAACAAGACCCTGTCCTCCCAGCAAAAAAAAAAAAAAAATCACAACAGAATAATGTGTATGCTATATTTTGAAGTCACAAAATATATGGCAGATGTTTGGGGACAGGGGGAAAAACACCTCAATGTACCAACCTTGAGATTACCCCAGGGAGATTATCAGACCAGAACTATAACTTCTTAAATATGTTTGTGCATTGATATTTAACTACTTTTTCTATTTATGACTATACAAGGCCCTATAAAATACACATGCTCAATTTAATGGGAAATTTTCCCTTTCACTATTTACACTATGAGGTATGAGATAAATTAGACAAATCCTACCTGTAATAGAAGAACCTTAAATTTAATTGGCTGAGCGCAGTGGCTCATGCCTGTAATCCCAGCACTTTGGGAGGCCAAGGTGGGCAGATCACCTGAGGTCAGGACTTTGAGACCAGTCTGGCCAACGTGGTGAAACATCGTCTCCACTAAAAATACAAAAATTAGCCAGGCATGGTGGTGTGCGCCTATAACCCCAGCTACTCGGAAGGTTGAGGCAGGAAAATCACTTGAACCTGGGAGGCGGAGGTTGTAGTGAGCCAAAATCACACCACTACCCTCCAGCCTGGGTGACAGAGTAAGACTCCATCTCTTTAAAAAAAAAACTTTATTAATTAATTTATATATTGGGGAATCTGACTGATTGACTAAATCTGCTTGAAATTTGGAAGAAAGGTTTTCAAATGTGTGCCAAGTACTACTACACTTCACATATACTAAACTTTACACGACTATTACACTTTACATGCAACTAATGTATTTATGTTTGGCAACAATCCTATGAGGTATGTACTATTATATCTTCATTTTAAAGACTGGAAAATTGAGGAAGAGATGTTGAATAACTTGCCCAAGGGTTGCATGGCTTGGACGTATGGCTAATCAGGCTTCAATAAATATTAGGTAATCTAACTACAGATGCTGGTTTATTAACCACTCTATAACATAGGTGTATCTGAGAAACTGAACAAAATGTGCTAAACTGGGGTATGATAAACAATCACTGGCCTATACATTATTATTTAACACTATCACTAACTGAGCATCTTTCATGTATCAGATACTGTATTAAACTCTTTAAAAAGCGACTTTGCCAAATCACTTTGCTATACAATTTCTACAATTGATTCGCACAATCCATACAACTTATTCATACAATACGTACACATTTACTCATTGCCTACTGTGTGCCAGGCATTGGATGTTCAGTATTTCAGTTTAGCTTTCTGTGAAACAAACCCCTTTCCATTTTATCACTGGTAGAACTAGAAGGGAGACAGTGTAAAAATATTATCTGCAGCTATTTAAAATACTACTTTAATAAAGGTTCACAATGATATTTAAGTTCTGTATATCAGCTACCAAGATTTCACGGTTCACCAACAGATACAATCAAAAATAATCTAAATCACTTTAAAATATATGTGTGGGCTGGGCGCAGTGGCTCACACCTATAATCCCAGCACCTTGGGAAGCAGAGGCACATCGATCACTTGAGGTCAGGAATTCGAGACCAGCCTGGCCAACATGGTGAAACCCCATCTCTACTAAAAATACAAATATTAGCCAGGTGTGGTGGTGCACGCCTGTAGTCCCAGCTACTTGGGAAGCTGAGGCACAAGAATCGCTTGAACCCAGGATGCGGAAGTTGCAGTGAGCCAAGATTACACCACTACACTCCAGCCTGGGCGACAGAATGAAACTCCGTGTCAAAAATAAATACAATAAAATATATGTATGGATAAGGAAGAAATGCTGTGCTGACTGCCCTAAACCGTCATAAAATAATTTAAGTACTTTTCATTTTTAAAAATTATCATTATTTAAGAGGCTGAGATACTACTACAAACCAGTAAGGTAGGAAAAAGGCAAGGCAGGGGAAAAGGAGCTGGCAGTTTTTGTATAAGGTGAATTCCCATTTATAAAATAATTCCAGAATAGGGTATTCTAGTTAAGTAAATTATACACTAGGAATATCAGAGGAAGTGAAACATTTTAAAGAGCACTGTGTTTTGATACCAAATATCTCTAAATAACTGTAAGCATGAGAAACAACTCTAATTTCACTAACTACTAGATTATAAAGGTTCCTTATATTCTAAAACATGGGTGAACAAAAGCCTACCGTATGTTTTTGTGCAGTCCATGAGTGGAAGAATAGTTTTTACAGATAAACGTCTGCAATCAACTTGATAGGGAAACTAAGGATCAGAATAAAAAATGGCCAGTTCTAAGGTCAGATAGCTGATAGGCAGTGATCCAGAAACTTGTTTCTCTAGTCGATTTGTTTGTTTGTTTTTGTGAGATGGAGCTTCGCTCTTGTTGCTCGGGTTCAAGCGATCCTCCGGCCTCAGCCTCCCGAGTAGCTGGGATTACAGGCATGCGCCACCACACCCAGTTAATTCTGTATTTTTAGTAGAGACAGGGTTTCTCCATGTTGGTCAGGCTGGTCTTGAACTCCTGACCTTAGGTGATCAGCTGGCCTCGGACTCTCAAAGTGCTGGGATTACAGTCATGAGCCACCGCGCGTGGCCTTGTTTCTCTAGTCTTAAACTAGCGTATTACCCACTACATTGTGCTATATTTAAGCAAACTTCTAATAACTGGCACAAAAGAACTGAAAAGTATCATTCTACAATTATCATGGCAAACACATTACATTCCCCCGTCATCTGCAGGGGATATATTCCAAGACCTCAGTGGATGCCTGAAACCTCAGATTAAATCAAACTTGATTTCTGTCAACTAGAACATGTTTCTGTTCACGTCTTTCACGACAAATTTAATGCCTTTTTCATCTTAACTAAGCACTTATCACATACTATGGCCATAATTTTCAGTTTGAAGTTCGACAGCAAAACTAGCAAGAATTCTTTTTCCTTCTTCATAATTTCAGACAGAAGATTCTTTCTTACCACAGATCTTAGTAACCTCAGCATATGATTTTTTTTTCTTAAGTTGAGAACTTTCACCTTTTCACTTAAAGAAAGCACTTCACAAGCTTCTCTTTGGCATATCTGAACTGCCAGTATCACCACTCTTGTGCTTTGGGGCTATTAAGTAAAATAAGGGTGACCTGAACACAAGCATGCCCTAATGCAACAGTCAGTTGTGATAACTGAGATGGTTACTAAGTGACTAAACGGGAAGGTAGCTTATAAAACATGGAGACACTGGACAAAGATTCACATCCTGGGTAGGACAGGGCAAGATTTCATCATGCTACTAAGAATGGCATACAATTTAAAACTTAAGAATTGCTTATTTATGGAATTTCTATGTAATATTTTCTAGCCAAGTCAACACTGTTTATAAGGCGCAGGACTTGTTTAACGAACAGGAAAGACTTTTTTTTTTTTTTAAACTGAGTATGTACAAGTTATACCTAATCTCCTAAGTATATTAAACATCTCCCCTCATAGTATTATTTTTACTATCAACTTGTTTAGCTGCTCTTTTTTCCACTTTGACAGTACAAATACAACCCCCAAAATAAAATTTATATGGATTCAACAAATTTTATTATCTACACACTATGAATTATTTGTATTTACCTCTCATTACATCAATTTTGTCTTATATATAGTGTAATTTACAAAGTGACAGCAGCTACTCAATGCAAACTAAAGTGGTAATTTAAGGAAAGCTCTCAAAGGCAAATGGATAGTTTTGTTTGTCTGTTTTGTTTTCCTTTTTTTAAGACGGAGTCTCACTCTGTTGCCCAGGCTAAAGTGCAGCGGTGCAATCTCAGGACGCTGCAACCTCCTCTTCCCGGGTTCAAGCAATTCTCCTGCCTCAGCCTCCTGAGTAGCTGGGATTACGGGGCGCCCGCCACCATGCCCAGCTAATTTTTGTATTTTTAGTAGAGTCGAAGTTTCACCATGTTGGCCAGGCTGGTCTCAAACTCCTGACCACAGGTGATCCACCCGCCCTGGCCTCCCAAAGTGCTGGGACTACAGGCGTGCGCCACCGCGCCCAGCCACAAATGGATAGTTTTTAATAAACACATTAGAACCTACACATCCAAAGCATTGTCTCCTTCAAAGCAGTAACTGTGGGAGTCTATATATCAATTACCATAATGCTGCTAATATTCAAAAATATTTATGGAATTCATCTTTTTGTGTTTCTTTCCTGTTTGCCTCTTTCTTTTAAATGAATAAACTCACAAAGGAAAATTCTCTAGAAAGAGAATCAAACCAGCCACCAATTAATCACAAGTAGCTTTGAGCCAAGTCTGAAGAAAGGAATGTGACTACAAAAGTTAACTTCAGTATTTCTGTGATCTGACTCAAACTTTATGTGTGCAAGCACTATTCTAAGAAATTATTAGTAAATGTAAATTCCAT